TGCAGGCCAGATGTGCCTAATATCATGCGAATCTTCCGGAAGATCAGGGGGCTTTAAAACCAGGAGTGTCAGCGCCGCCAGCGCACTTTTGCAATAGTCTGCATAGAGACAACCGCTCATTCGTTTTTTGCTAACTGTTATCCGTAACGTTCGGACCGCGACCAACAGCTAATTTCGAGTCGCGCTAGCATTCTGCTTCTTAAGCAATAAACGACACCATAAACTGCAAACGAGCTTCAGCGTAGTTTATTTTACTCCACTCCTGTCGATTCCCCTTCGGGAGAATCGCCAACACATATCTTTACAGAATTAAAGATACGCAGGGGCCAATTAAAGGCTGCTTGCACGCGAGCACAAAATACGCTCGCCTCTGGTGATGCACAGTCGATGCTTGTAACACAGCTGCAGGAACGAAAGTCAAAGGTAGAGGCAACTTGGTCAATTTGACGAGGTTCAGTCACAGATTGAATGTTTAGAGGATTCGGCGGAGCTCAAGGATACCCACAAACAAGCAGAATTCGAAGAGACATATTTTCAAATCATCTCACAATTTCGAGATTTGATATTGGCAAACGAGGCGCTCACTGTTGAGCTTACACAAACACACAACCCAATTAATAATCAGCTAATTAACGAACAAGCGCAAACACGCACAAACAATTTACGACTTCCGAAGATTGACTTGCCATTCTTTTCAGGTTCATTCGACGAGTGGTATTCATTCTATAACACATTCCAGTCATTGATTCACAATAATCCGTCGATAACAGGGATACAGAAATTCCACTATCTCAAGGCAGCTTTAAAGGGAGAAGCTGCAGACGTAATACAGTCATTGGAAATTTCAACAGTTAATTACGCAGAAGCATGGCAAATGCTAAAGAATCGCTACGATGACAAGCGGCTAATCATTCAGAAGCATGTTAAGACAATTTTCGAACTGCCTTCTCTCTCCAAGGAGAATCATTTGAAGTTACGTCAGTTAGTGGATGGCGATTTAAAACATTTACGGGCCTTAAAAACCATCGGCCGTCCCATTGACTCGTGGGATGATGTACTTTTGCACGTCGTGACAGGAAAGCTAGATACTACAACAAATAAGGAATGGGAGAACAGTTTAACAGGCAATGACATTCCGACATGGCACATGCTCATCGAGTTTTTGGAACATAGATGTCACATTTTGGAAGCAATTGATCGAAAGACACAGGTGCAATCTACTGTATCAGCACAACTCAAGAACACGCAGTCGAAGACAGCAGCACATATATCTACAAATAAGTCATTCTGTCAGATATGCAGGGGCAATCATTTTATCTTCTCTTGCGAGCAATTTCTCAAAATGTCACCTGAAGCACGCTTCAAATATGCGAAAGAACATAAATTATGTTTAAATTGTCTTCGATTTTCTTCACACACTGCCAAAACATGCAAGGCAAGCAGTTGCAAGACGTGTGGTAAACGTCATAACACCTTGCTGCATATCACCCAATCAAACAACAGCGAAGATGCGAGTTCATCACAGAAGGGGGAGACACAAACGATATCACCGTCACCAGTTGTTTCACATGCAGCAAACTGTCTTTCTTCAACACAAGTGTTGCTCTCCACAGCGCTCGTAAATGCAACAGACTGTCAGGGAGTATCACAAACATGTCGAGCATTGTTAGATTCAGGCTCCCAATTTAATTTTGTCACAGAAGACTTAGTTCGTCGTTTAGGTCTTTCTACAAAATCTATCAATGTGCCAGTGGTAGGAATTAATCAGTCATGGATTCACGCACAAGAAATGGTCAAGATCAAGATAAGCTCAAAACGTCATGCCTTTAATATTACAATTAATTGTCTTGTATTGAAGCAAATAAGCGATCGTTTGCCTAATTTTCCAATTGATAGAGCGAGTCTTAAGATTCCACATAACTTAGCTAGCAGATCCTACCTTTTATCAATCTACGGACATAGAAATGTTGTTAGGAGCTGAGGTGTTTTGGAGTATTTTATGCATCAGTCAAGTCAAGGATTCTCCGGATCATCCATTGCTTCAAAAAACATTATTTGGATGGATCATTGGTGGCAAATGGGTATATACTCCTAACAATTTGAAGGCACAGCAATGCAATTTATCAATAAGACATTCTACTGCTAATTTGGAAGACGCAGTCGCTAAGTTTTGGCAAGTGGATCAAATCAGCAATCAACCTTCGATTACTATAGAAGAGAAGGAATGCGAGGAGCTTTTCAAGAGAACTCATTACCGTAATCAGGAAAATCGATTTGTAGTTGAACTGCCATTGAAACAAGAAGTGTTGCAATTATTAGGCAACTCTTATGATATTGCATTGAAGCGATTCTACTCACTGGAGCGCAAACTTAACAAGAATCCACAACTAAAAGGACAATATACACAGTTTATGGATGAATATCAAGCACTTGACCACATGCGACCTGCCATTTCAGATACACAAGGTACAAATTTTACTTATGTGCCACATCATGCAGTGTTGAAGCCTTCCAGTTCGACTACAAAACTTCGAGTGGTATTTGACGCGTCATGCAAGACTGATTCGGGAATTTCACTCAATGACACATTAATGGTTGGACCTTTGTTGCAACAAGACGTTTTTACATTACTTATCAGATTTCGTAAGTGGCAGTATGCGCTTACAGCCGACATACAAAAAATGTATCGGCAAATTTTAGTTTATAAGAAGCATCGAAGTCTACAAAGAATTTTATGGCGCAGCAACAGAGAAGCTAACATACAAGTTTTCGAATTAAACACAATCACTTATGGGACGGCATGTGCGCCGTATCTTGCGATACGAGCATTGCAAGAAGCAGCAAAACTACATCAAGACAAACAACCACTTGGAGCATCAAGAATTTTAACAGATTTTTATGTGGATGATCTTATTACGGGGGCAAACACAATTCAAGAACTTATACTAATCAAGGAGGAAATAAATACAATTTTAAGTGAATCGGGATTTCCACTACATAAATGGGCCTCCAATCATTCTGCAATTGTTGAGGAGTCATCGTTAGACAACACATTAAGATTCGACAAGGATTTTGATACATCAACACTCGGATTGCAATGGAACCCTAGGGAGGATCAATTTAGATTCTTCACCAATCTGTTTGTGTTAAAATTTCGAAACGCTCAATTTTGTCAAGTATAGCACACATATTTGATCCTTTAGGATTCATAGGACCTGTCATCACAACAGCAAAAATTTTCATGCAGCGTCTGTGGCAGCTGAAACTGGACTGGGACGAAGCAGTTCCTCTCGATATTCACACCAAGTGGCTTCAATATGAAACAGAGCTTCCTCAATTAAATTCTCTGCGCATTGCACGAAGAATTGTTATGCATACAGATCCTAAAGAAATAGAGTTGCACAGTTTCCGCGGATGCGAGTGAAAGGGCATATGGCGCATGCATCTATCTTCGGAGTACAGATTCCAATGGTAATCATCATACAAGACTTATCTGTGCAAAATCACGCGTATCGCCACTCAAGAATTTATCGCTTCCAAGACTGGAATTGTGCGCGGCGGTGTTGGCTGCCAGTTGGCACACAAGGTGTTACAATCCATTGAACTTAAGGTTGATCGTGTGTATTATTGGTCAGACTCAACCATCACGCTTGCATGGATTGGATCATGTTCTAGGAAATGGACTATGTTTGTAGCAAACAGAGTCAGTGCCATTCAAGAGTTATCAAGTTCGGACGATTGACATTACGTAGAATCAACTCAAAATCCTGTCGATATTATCTCTAGAGGAATGTCGCCTATGTCACTACTTTCTTCAAAGCTCTGGTGGAATGGGCCTTCATGGCTCGTAGATGATGCATGTTGTTGGCCAAAGGACACTCCATCAATGGAACAAGAAATACCGGAGCAGCGAAAGACGATTCTCATTTCATCTGTTAATTAATCAAGCTGGGACGTCTACGATAAATATTCACAGTTTCACAAGTTAATTCGGATTACTGCATACTGTCTACGATTCATTAACAATTGTCAACGTCATAAAACTAAATTGTGGGATCCAATCGAAGTGCCTGAATTGGAAAGGGCAACTCAGTGTTTAGTAAAAAATGTTCAAGCTACAGCATTTACACAAGAACTAAGGTGTCTTCAACTCAGCAAGCCATTACCAAGGAATAGCAAGCTTCTTTCTCTTAATCCATTTGTGGATAAAGGAGGTCATCCGCTCATCCGCGTTGGAGAAAGACTTCAGCATGCGAAGTTATCATATTCATCAAAACATCAGCTAGTGTTACCAGCTAACCACCCGTTTACAAAAATGTTAATTGAACGAGAGCACATAAGACTTCTCCATGGTGGAGCACAGATGACTTTAGCCTCGGTTCGACAAAGATATTGGCCAGTAAACGGTCGCAGAATTGTTCGACAAGTCATTCACAAGTGCATAAGATGTTTTAAAACGTCTCCAAAGTCAATCCAACAAATTATGGGCAATTTACCTGAGCAGCGAGTTCAACCTTCTCGACCATTTTCCAATGTAGGAATAGATTTCTGTGGACCATTCAGTGTTCGAGAGTCAAAGAGATGTAATTCTAAGACTGTAACCGCTTACGTAGCAGTGTTTGTGTCTTGCAGTGAAGGCAGTCCATTTAGAACTCGCATCAGATTTAACAACAGAATGTTTTCTGAATGTTTTTAAGAGGTTTATTGCACGAAGAGGCAGACCATTCAACGTCTTTTCAGATAATGCAACAACCTTTGTCAAGGCCAATAAGGATTTAAAGGAATTTTTTACAGAATTCGCAAGACATTCAAGAGAAGATGTTTTCTTTCGCAGCAGAAGAAGGCATCAAGTGGCATTTCATTCCTCCGAGAGCTCCAAATTTCGGTGGAATTTGGGAAGCCTCAGTCAAGGTTTTTAAAACACATTTAAAGAAGGTTGCTGGTGCATCCTCATTGACACTTGAAGAAATGCAAACTCTTACTGTACAAATCGAATCCGTTTTGAATTCCCGTCCTTTAATTAGTTTGTCCAACGATCCTAACGATTTATCCTATCTCTCTCCGGGGCACTTTCTTGTTGGAGACGTTCTTACCACCATTCCAGAGACCACATTGCAACACATACCAGAGAATCGATTGAGTCGTTGGCAACGAGTAGAGAAGATGAAGCAACATTTTTGGAACAGATGGTCGAAGGATTATCTGAATCAACTGCAACAAAGAAATAAGTGGCAAAAACAAAGGATTCCCATTCAACGAGGAGATTTGGTTCTCATTCGAGAAGACAACATTCCTCCTTTGCACTGGCCTGCCGGACGAGTTCACGAGGTTCATCCAGGAGAGGATGGCGTCATTAGGGCAGCTACCATCAAGACTTCCAAGGGACTATTCAAGAGATCAGCCAACCGGTTTTGTTTGTTTCCGACCAAAAAAGACTAGATATGAACTTTGTGCAACTATTTATTATTATTTGTACTTGTATTTTACAATTGTTGTCCCTGTATGTTACAATTCAATTTATTTTGTAAAGCTAGGCTTTCCAAAGCGGCCGGCATGTTAGATATCAGTCGAATCATTCATTCTTTGTATTTTTTGTTTATCTTTCATAGTATAGTTCAAATTTCGCGCTTCAGTTTTACACCAGAAATGTCACTAGAGTACAATATTTTTCCCGGTTTTATATCAGTGCTAGCTAGTTCCATGGCGCTGCCTTTCGTTTCGTTTCCGGTTGAATTGGTAAGAAGAGAGATTTGGTCGTGATCCGCCATGAGTTATAATTATAGTTTCCGACACATAGTTTTCTACAGCAATAAATTAAGATTCTCGTCATAAAGAGAAATTCAAGGTGTATATTACATTACCCTACATTCAACAAAAAGAGATTATATTGTCCTCGCGAAGCCAGGTCTCCTGGCAGACATATTATATCAAAGTTATGTAATAGATTAGAAAATTCATTATATTTACCCATTAGTCCTCTACAATTCCATTGCAAGATTTTGACAGCGAATAACAAAGACAAGAAAAACAGGAGAACATCGTCATCTCATAATCTTCAAACTCTAATCTCTATTTTGGTTATTAGCATTTTAATAAATTTGAAGATAGCATATGCTTGGTCTTTGTCTGTACTAAAAGAATGATATATATGGTTGATTTGATCCAAAATGAGGGTGGGCTGTAGAAAAATTTTATCAAAAGAAGTATAAAGATTAATCTATCTTGCTCCTTGCAAGGCAGGATTTGAAAAATAATTATGCGATAGAGAGGTCTGTGAAGAGAGCTCCTTTCTATTACAAATGTTTGGCATAGAACGAACACTAGCGCCAACGCTATTCGAATCATCCTGTCCTCGGGCACCATCCGGCATAATGCCCGAAGGGCAAGGCTTATGTAATAAGTAATTACAATCCTTAATAAATTTCCTTTTCTGGGAACGAACATGTCTGATGGAATGACAATTTTCCAGGGGAGGTAGCACTGGTTTATTCCTCGTCTTAGGGAGGTACATATTTAAATTGTTCCACGCCAAATATGCGTGAGATTTAAACAAGGCTGGAATTTGGTTAGAATCAGTGACGTCGTGTTTAGCAATAAGTCTCCTGGCACGAAAGTTGGCTTACATTACAATATGCCATAACCAGATTGATCAATTTAAACTTTTAAAAAATGGGGCAAGAAGAATTTAAAGACGGGTGATTTTCTCCACAATTGACACATAGAGGAGAAGTTTGATTACACTGATCTGAGTCGTGGTCTCTCCCACACTTAAAGCACATAGGTCTGCCCCTGCATAGATTGACCAAAACGGGAGCATTTCTGGCATTTTCGAACGCTATTGACAAAAGCGAAAACTTTAAATCTAACGTGGTAGATATTTATGAATTCTGGAATTAAATTGGAGACAAAATTAATTTTGACGGAGGATGATTCTTTCAATTCATTATTGTTGTTTTTGTCACGGAATTTCAACCTCTCTATAAATTTAATATTTATGGGATTGCTACAAGATACCCTCCATAATATCTTTAATAGAGAAATTTAAATCCACATTTTTTATTACTCCTGAACAGAACAGTTTATAGTTGGAGATATAAAGGATCCACGAAACAGGCAAAATATCATCTGATTCTACCAGATTATTGGCGTCCAATACTGTCTTAAGAGAAATTCCAATTATATTCTTACCCATATTCTGGATATTATCCAAATTTTTACATTTCTTACAGATTGATTTTTGACAAACTCAGAGGATTGCCTATATTTTCATTGGTAGATTCGATAAAAACCAGAAAAGAAAACGTATTTCTATCAGAATAGCGATTTAATTCCTTCTGTTCTGTACTCAAAAGCAACCTGTTCTGTGCTGGGTTATTAATAGTATCCATAGCAGGAAAGGCATCCTAGATATCGGTGAGGTTATACTCCAGCTATAGGCTTCTTCTCTCAAGAATATTAATTTGACTAGCTGAGAAGTTACTACGGTCTGTTGAAGAGTTTTTGTCTATATGAGAGGAGCCTGCCACGGACTCATATGCACCAACAGAAGGAGATTTAGCCTTCAAGTTAAAACTGCTATACGCCATTGTTGACGGATTGTTGCAATGCTCCGTTTTCACCTTATGTTTCTTGTTAGTATAATCAGTATTGCCAGAATTCAGAAGGGGGCTTCCACTAGAGGAATTTCTAGCTCTGTTATTCTTTTTTCCAGCTTTAAAAGTAGATTTATGGTGCTTAGCCTTGGACATAATACACAAAAGAGAATATAACTAAAGTAGTAAGTAATTCAAGAAGAAAGCGAAAAATATGATAAAGTAAACAGTACAGATCAGTCGGTAAAGAATTCAAGTCGAAAACAAGGCAAAAATGTAAACAGTCACTAAGGAGGCATTCCAAAGGCCGAGAAACGCGTAAACAACCTCCCCTACCGCGGGATGGTAATACAAAAATTTTAGGAGAGATTCAAAGTAATAAACATATAACTGAAAAATGTGAAACAACGATATAATGAAAAGAAGTTTGAAAGACAAATTCAATAAAACTCAAAAGACAAATTTGGATAATAACCATATCACATTTATCCCGATACGATGAGATAAGTAACGAAAAATAGGGATAGATAGTATGATATCAAAATATAAAGGGAAATAACGTAACTCGCCAAGCGATGAAATAACAAAAATTACAAATATTGCAAGGAAAACATAGGGATAATAAGAAAGTTATAGTAATATAGCAAATAAAGAAAAGAAATTTCAATTATAACTTCAATTATATTATAATCATGTAAAAGGGAGAGAAAAGAAAAATCTTTGTAATATTAAATTCAATCATAATAATAAGTAAAATAATCAAAATAATAGCATATAACTGAAAAAATGAAAGTGAAATGCAAAATAATACAAAAATTTGAAAATTTTAAATTCAAAAAAGCTTAGGAAAAGATAGATTTGGATAATAAACTTAACACATTTAATCCAATACGATGAAGTAATTAACAAAAGACTAGAAATGAAAATACATATTATAGTATAATATAAAATAAAAGAAAGTAACGTAAATTATCAAGCGATGGAATAATGAAATAAAAATAAAATTACAAATAATACAAGAAAAACATAGGAATAATAAAAAAAGATGATATATTGTATAAAGAAATTTCAATTATATGAAAAAACATGAATAAAGGAGAAAGAGAAAAAGATAGATCTATACAATATTACATTCAATTATAATATTAAGCAAAATGCATATAAAGAATTTATTCCGTTACGATGAAATAGGTAACAAAGATTATAAAGGGAAATACTATGAAAAAATATAATACACTTCTCAACAAAATTAAAGCATCACTTACTCTACCCTCCAAAAATAGGCAAAATTCAAGAGAATGTAACTTCGTCAAAAATGATCGTATCGAGATGTTTAAAAAAGCATTTTACAGCTTGAAATCTCTACTTTTCAAATCGGTACTTGAGAAAACGATCCTACTAATCTTTCATGGAATTACACGAATAGAAAGGGAGACTCGACGAATCTCAAAATTTTTTACGAACTTTGACAAGTTCTATGGCGCAAATGAAAAAATCGCATGCAAATGCAATTTACAGCTTTTGAAAAAGTGAATCTTTACCTTTAATTTACTTA